CGGCTGTACGTGTTGGCCTTCAGCTGATTGATTTTCCTCCATCCGCCAAGGCCAACACGTACAGTCGCAACTTTAAACTTGCTGATCGATAAAGTCAGTATTCGCTTCGACAAAGCACAGCCGGTCCAGCTGTCCCAAACGTCAGCAAACCTACGAATTCATTCCGGTGAGCAGAAGATGAACTCTTATTCATAACGCGGAATTCTGACCTTTTCAAATTTGAAATCGATAATGCCTAGTCATGTTTGGCGTCTAGTCCGGATTGGTTGCTGCTTTTTCCAGGCTTCCCTAAGCTTGGTGTACATAGCATGCCATTCGACGTGCTAATTAATGCACAAGGCATTTGTCCCAATTCGCCATGCACAAACTAGAAACTGGAAAGCAATTCACATGAGACAAAACTTACATTGTAGACTCTTGCCCATGTAGGAAAGGCCGTAAGTTTTTAGGGGCCATTTACTCCGATGACTAGTACATAAATAGGCATTTCGAATTGGATACTATGTACACCAACCTCAATGAAGGCAGGAAAAGACGGCAACCATTCCGGATTAGACACTAAACGTGATTAAGTATTATCGATTTTTTCCGGTGTGTTTAAAATTGGCACTGTTCTGTACACTTTCCACGACCTGGTGTGTCGAAAATTTCCAATAAAGTTTGTTAGCGTTTCCCAGCGAACTTCTTCTACCAAATTATACTCCTTGGGATACCAATTTTCCAATAAATGGTTTGGCGCTAAATTCCAGGGAAATTTAGGTTCGGGTTAAAATTGTGATTACGGTTAATTTTTAGGTTAAACACCAATATATTTAGCGCAAGGCTACCTGTATTTCATGAGAGAGGCTTCTATTCTCGTGTCCTGTCGGGGATGATGGGGGAAGGGTAAATCTAAACTATTCTGACAAAAAATAATTATGTGTTCTGTCCTACCATCATAACCGATCGATTAAGCCGGTTCCGATGCGACTGTTTTAGTTATAAGGAACTTTAGTTCTAGATCGGTTATTTTAAAGTGTAAAGTAAACCAGCTTCCTTGTTTCTCAGTTTAAAGTCTCTGAGAGGCATGCCGAAATGATGGCCACTTACGTTGATGCCACCTAAGCGGTTTCTGAATAGCAGTCCACGGACAAGTGGGTGCTTTGGATGCATCTCTTCTGAAATAAACGTATCCCTAAATAGGGCTATGGAACCTCATCGCAAAGTGCTTTACCATTCGAGGAGGTTTTTCGGGATTTTGTACAGCAGTAGTAGATGTCGTCGAATCCATCCGTACGGGTTGTTTGGTAACATCACACAAAGTCCACTGATGAGAGCCTAAAATAGATTTATAAATAGTCTTTGTTGAGGACAATGGAATGACTTCAAAAACCTCTTAAATAGTCTTTCAGGTGGTTACATTCGAAGTCTTCAGATGTCGGCTGCTTAATATTAAGCTCTAAAGCATGGCCAATGATAAAGAAGTGTAGCATTTAGGGCTTTGGAATCGATGGTTCCCTTTTCAGCAAATTCAGGTCTTTAGTTTTCGAACTATTATGAATAGTCCGTGCGACAACAATGAGGGGAACGTAACTGTTGCCCCCTGTACACGAATGTGGACTAAGGTCTCATGCTGAACGAACTACGGACTTGTCAATGGGTCAGTGGAATACTCCATGTTCACACCGCGGAGTGATGGGTAAGGAAATATGAATTTTATACTATATAATTATTTGCCGGACTGGCAGTTCAGGCACTTGCTAAAACTCCATAAACGTGCGTTTCGCCGAAATTCTGCCGCTATAAGACGCGGGTCCGACACATCGGTCGGGCCCACAGCGTACCGTCTATACGAACCGCAGTTTCCGCCTTGTTTTGTTTAAGTTCCGGGAATGTATACGCAAAAGCTGTCATATCAACTTTTGGAGCGACCTGAAAAGGTTTCTTCCGAAGTATTTACTCCAATTTTCCGAAATAATTTCCTCCGCAAGTAACTAAGGTAAAAGTATCATTCCCTAATCATGAACCAGGGATGGAAGAATACGTTGGACCAGCAGTTACTGAGACTTAAGAGCGAAAAGGAAAGTCAGTAAATAGCTGCTACAGGCCGTCTCATTTCCTCTGCCATGCCTATGGACACCTGGGATAGGCTTCGCATGCAGGACTGACGAGCATTTACTCAATAGCTGGCGTATGTAGGCCTCAAGAAGATCGAAGAATCATGCTTGTCAGGGCCTCTGGGTGGTACTTGTGCCTGCCATCAGCGTGGCAAGTAAGTAGCTTATACTACTCAATGCCTGTCTGCAGCTTGTGGATAGTACGCAGTTATTCCGTAGTGGCTGAGGAATTTCAGCCCATAATATTCGTACTAACTTTCGGACCGTGCTTGAAAAGGTTTGCTCTGAAATATTTAGACCCAGTTTGCGCATTAATTTCCTCGGAAAGACGACACTTGATTTAAAAAAATAAGGGCTACAAAGATGCCTATCTGCTGCACTAATAGTGTAGTTATGAGTGCTGATACAGTTTGTGAATTACAGACTGGAGATCAGCTTCCGCCATTTCTCGGGTAGATTTTTGCTTACTTTGCTTCATTTATACTCCTGTTTGCCCAATTTCGACAGATGACAAGCATTCCACGGT